AGTGTATATTAAGGATGTTATATATTTTACTCTTATATATTTATCTTTATTATTTATCCTTATCTATTTATCTTTATTATATCTACTTTATCACAATAAAAATCATGTATTATATTTATCGCTAAAGTAATATCGATTTAATTTTTAAAGTGCAATCTTTTAGTACGCGGTGTAATAACATGCATCGACACAAAATTACAGATTTCTTTTCCAATAACGATCGCACAAAATCTATCGGACAAAAACAAAAAATAAAAAAATTGATTGCAAACAGAAACGCAACGTTAATCAAAAATTTCCGCGAAAGATGAAACAGAGAAAAGAACATAAAGATAACAAAACCTGTAAGTATATGCACATTTGCGGAAAATATTTTGTCGCATTTGTATAGTGCATTCGAGAAATTATACTTGTAAAATCCTTTGAAAGTAAACCATATTGCCGCCACTTTCGCCGCTTTCAATTTAAGTATTTTTCGTGCGTATAAACTGACCAATTTTCGTGGATTTTTCTGACAATGATGAATTGTCGCGCCTAAGATTGCGATACGTCAAAAATACATGAAATTCCAAAAGAGAAAACATAAAAAACAATATAAAAAAGATATTTTACTATTTTTAACGACCTAACTAAACTAGGTGATTTTATGTTTTAAATTAATTCGACAAAAGATCAATTACTGAATAAGCATCAATTACGTAATAAAATATCGTCTAATTTTTAAACTAACTTTATTCTGCAAAATTTTCAGATTATAGAAAAATTTTAAAAATAGTTCTTCAATTTGATAAATATGCATTTTAAGTCACACTTCATCGATTTCGATGTGCTTTAGATATGTTGTAGGACAGGTCATACTGAGTAAGTATTTAAAAAAATTTTGCGGGGACGACCTTAGTTTAGGAGATATGACAATTTAAAGTTTCTGAACAATACTATTATTTTTATGTTATTTTCGTTCGTGTTGTAAGCGTGTAGGGGGGCTTTGCCTTCCTGCAGAGAGAATAGCTTTACTTTTCTCCTTGCATCCCCCACAAAGAAACCACACACTTTTGACATGAATCAACATTTAATCGGAAGTCGTTCCTTAAGTTTTTTTATTTCTTATTGCATAGATTCTAATTAAATATTGCTTTATGTCGAAAATATGTACGTGGTTTTTTCAAAAGAAGGGTGCAGAGAAAGGATCAAAGCGCCACTTCCTCTGCGGAGGACAAAGCCTCTCTTACTTACCGCTTACAATACGAACAAGATGTACATGGTGTCGGAAAATAAGAGTTTATTTATAAAACTTCTTTTGTTAATAACTTTTTAATAAATAACGTGCGACGGTTAAAATCTTTTGATTGTTACTCAGCAAAGTGACAACATATGTTAGTCATGAATTTCTGAAGAGGTTGATCTTTTGTAAATATTTAATTTGTGATTTAAATTCACATCTGCTCCACAATGTAAACATTTAATATGTCCATGAATAACTTTACGATCAACAAGAAAATCTACTAATTTCTCGCTGTTCTTAACAAGACTACAAAAATTCCTGTAGTCACATGTTGAAAGCTATTAATAAACTGCGAGAAATAGTAAAACGGATTCTTGACTTTGTAGCTTTGTTTAGATTTCTCAACACAGCAGTCCGATACAGAACATACAGAAACTTTACTGTTTGTATAATATCAGCTTATAATAAGTAAAGCATTAAAATACTGAAAATTCAAATTGTCATATCCCTTAAATCAAGATCGTTCCCCATAAAATTTTTTCAGATAATTACTCAGTACGACTTGCTCTACATATCTAAAGCGCAACGGAATCGGTGAGGTGTGACCTAAAATGCATAATTATTTTCAATTTTTTATAAATAGTTTGCATTTCTTTTGAAAATTTAAAAATATTTCAAAATTAGATATATATTAAAATGAAATTTCTTATTCTATTATTGCTCATAATTTATTCGTATTATTTTTCAAGACGCATTGCTTATTCCTGTCACTATACGCTGCTCTTTGTCAATGCAAAGCATTCCAAGAATGTTCCGCAAAAGAGGCGTCTTACAGAAAAGTTACTGCCTCTATGCCGGAGGATATGCACTCTCGACCTCAAGATGCACTCTTTCGCACGTTCATTAGAGTCCGAGAATTTACCTGACGGCACAACACTCGTCCTTCTTGTATCTTTATCAGGTTTCTTTTTACTGTCTGTAAGCTAGTTATTTTCTGTGTTTGCAGTTACAGAATTTTATACAATAATATTTTTAAGTCGTCTCTCTCTCTCTCTCATATTAAAATTAACTGCAGATATTTTTATCAGTATTTTTTTTATAAAGAAAATAACCAATATTATAAAAATACGAATGTTTTTAAAACATGTGAATGTGACATCCCTAACTTTTATCACCTCAAATTTTTATATCAAACTTTTGTACATATTGTGTGAGTATATATTAGTATTTAAAACTAATACAAAGTTTTCTTATTACAAATAAAACTTAATTATATATATAATGTTTTGCTTCACCAAAACATCTCTATTGCAGACTGACAACTAGGAAAATGATAAAAACCACTTACGTATTCCGTTAAAGACAAGTAAACAGGAAGATTCAAACAAAGTGTCTGTATCAGGTAAAAAAATAACACAATACTTAGCAAGTGAGTAAAGTGTGATAATAAAACTGTGATAATAAAAATCGAAGAGAAGCAAAGTAGCGCAAGTAAGCGCAAAAAAGAGGTTCTTTCATTTCTTGAACAAAGCTAGCGTATTTGCTAGATGAGAGTAACACGAAAGAACGTGAGCACGAGATCGCGATCTATAGAGTTGAGCTCTATGGATATAACACAAGCGGAAAATGAGAGGCACAGGAATAAAATGTAGAGAAAAAAATAACAAAAGAGAAAAATGAGCGAAATCGTGAATCGCGCGCGCTCTCTCTCTCTCTCTTTCTCTCTCTCTTTCTTGAAAATACAAAACGTTAGCTGGAAAAACAAAAAATTGTCCCACAATTTATTCTAAAAAGGAAAGGGAGGTCAAGTGAGAGCTTAAAAAAAATTAAAATATTCGCGCGTCAGGAAGATAAAGACACGTCATGTGACACTGATGAAAGTGATAAAAGTATGGAGAGAAATTGATAAAGAGTTAGTGATGAATAGAGAAGATAAAGAAAAAGAAAAACAAGTATGAAGTTACGAAGAAGAAAAGAGACAAGACAAATGATCCGACAGTGTAGTTCAGAGTGAAAATAGAGAGAAAAAGAGAAGTGTAAGTATAGTGATTGATATCCGTGATGTAGGCAAAAGATGGTAGAAATACAGTAAAGAAGTCAAACAGAAACTATCCCGAAGAGAATAAAATTGAACCCAAGCTGGTGTAGCAAGCGCGCAGATATAGAATAAGCGGCGGAAGAAGCGAGTAGGATAGGGAAAAGAGCGCAGTCACGGAGATGAGATCCGGAAGATGCGAAAGGAAACGAAGAGATAATACAGCTGAATATAGCTGAATAATTGTATGTGCCATTATCAAGGCAAGAGAGGCACTAACAAAGAAACCTTATTTTTTACTCACTTCATTATATTTTCCTTATATTCACATGATTAGGGAGAGAAACGATCGAGTCCTTCGCTTCTGTGACCACAGTTATTATCAGAAATTAAAGAGATAATTACTTTCTTTCTCTTTCTTCCTTTAGAAAGCGAGAGTTAGCTCTAGTTAACTGAAGAACTCTTCAACTGTAAAAATCAGGATAAATTCAAAATAAACTCGAATTTTGCAACATCGAACGCAACACATTGTAAAAACTAGTGGATCGAACCAGGTTATAAACTTCTTTTCTTTTTTTTCTCATATTGAATACACAAATAGTTGGCGCAAGAAATTAAGTGAGACACTCGAGCGAGAGCAAGTAAGATATTTTGTGCTGAAAAATTGATCGCGCGTAAGAGATAAAGACAAAAAGAGTGAGAAGAGGGGAGGAAGAAATGTCGTTGTCAAGGGAAATACGAAAAGTGTCTAACACTTCGTTGGAACGGATGCACATGCGTATAAAAGCGTGAGGCTAGTGCTGACGATGAGAACAAAGAACGAAGGAATGAATGAATGAATGAATGCAAAAATACGGGAAACCGCAACAGAATGATAAATACGAGAGCTTGTGTGAAAGACGAAAGAAACGGGCTTGGTGGCTACTTCTGCCTCTTTCTCTTTTTTCCTCACTCATTCACTCTCTCTCTCTCTCTCTCTCTTCTTCTTTTTCTTCTTCTTCTCTCTTTCTCTCTCTCTCTTTCTCTCATTAACAGAATCGCGCGAATGCAATGAGCGAACGAAGCTGAAAACCAGCGTTCTCAAAGCCCAAGTAGGCTAAAGTGGAAATACAGGGTAGCGGCGGCGACAAATCGGCAAGGGCAAGGAGGGAGACTAAAGATGATGGGCGCAAAGGGGTGGTTGGTGGGAACCATGACGTCATCGTTGAGCGGTTGCCTGGCAACGGAAAACGTTCGTCGCGTCGGGACGCCGACGCGCGTCGCCACCGCCGACCCGCCGTAAAAATCAATTTAGACCTTGGCTAGGTGACCGCGCTCTCGCTCGCTTGCTTGCTCGCTCGCTCGGTTGGTCGCTCGGCGTCACTGCGACGAGGATCTCTCTCCGCTCTTTCTTCTCATCGCGAGCCGAGGCGACCGAGAGAGTCACGCTTCATACGAGGCTGCCGGGCTGCTGACCACCACCACCACTACTGATTCCGCAAGCTCTCGGGACTCCCGGATTCGGGAGTCGCGAGCTAAGCTCGACCAGTCGCGAGCGGATAACCACATTGAGCGAGTGCCTCTATCGTGGCGCTTGCGGCGCTACCGCACGCGCAACAGCACATCACGTACGCACCTTTACATACTCACGATTACACATAGCGATTACCCGTGATACACGCACATACACATTCACATAGCAGAGTTGCCCGTGCGCTCGCGCAGCAGAGCGCGCGCGTCGAGCTACTCGCGCGCGACGCGGTGCATCGTGCAGTCACGGGGAGGGAGGTGGAGAGACACTGTCACATGAGGGGTTCGCACACCAGGTAGTAGTGCTTGGAGGATACGGCAAAAGAGATGAACTTGTGAGTGTACCGGAATTGTGGAGTGTACGCAAGCTTAGACAGGAAGACAGTAACGCACGTTTGGAGCGGAGATCGATGCATGGAGTTTCAACTGTGCGAATCGGAGCTTGCAAAGACACACCACCTTCTTGGGACAATTCCATCGTGTGGAGCTGTCCGATGTGTGGAGCTGTCCTGACAGACAACGACAGAATGCGTGGGAAAGCGCACGCTACTTGCGTAAGCTGTCGTAAATTGTCGTGAAAAGAGACTTCTACTTGGATCGAGAACAGCTATGCGAAACGAGAGGTTCGCATGTACTGTCGATGAACAAAACCGTCGATGAACCAAATTCGCTGAGCGCACAGTTCGTTCAAGTGAAAGATTCCCAAAGAGGAGAAGTTCCGACGCGAAAATTTAAAAAAGCACTTAAAGACACACTTTTTCGCGAAATATTCTTCTGTTGTGATTTATATTTGATGTTCAACACTGTTTCCTGTTCCGCTGTGTACGAACGACATCGGTAAAGTCTTATTCTCTTTTCATCTATATATATGTGTATTTCCGCTTTATCTGCAAATCTATTTATTTACATGTCTGTAAGTGCTGCATGCGCTTGTATCTTCTCCTCTGCGTTCTCCGGGGAACACGAATCTAAATCTCTCTGTCATATATATGTATATATACATACATATATATATATATATATCGTGGCTGGCTGGTTGTTAAAGAGTCAGATATCGAAATGTATGTACGTCATATGAACGTTGATAGAAAATTGCAAATGCAAACGACACAGAGAAGAGACGTATTAATTGGCCGAACGGCGTTCATCTCTCCAACATCGTAACGACAATGATATCGGCGTGGACAGCCTAAAAACGTCACGAGATCACGAGGCTCGTCGTCGTCGTCGTCGTCACTGCACATATCATTCGGTGAGAGACCATCCCGAGCTTACCGATGTGACGACCGGCGAACAGTGCAGCACGAGCCGAACGGAGATACCGCGCCGGATCAACCAATCGCGTTCTGGCAACGTGCCTTCCATCATCATCGATAGTCGCGCGATAGCTCTTTGTGGCGCTCTTCAGCATCGCCGCCGCGGAGACCTTCCACCTGTTTCGGCTCGAAACTGTTTGTATTCGCAATTGGCAGCTTTCCAGAAGAAAGATTCTTCTTACATTCATATACTCCTCAATTTCATACACTTCGAATAGTGAAGATATCTTTTTCTCGTCAATGTTTGCTGTAGAAACTCGTTACGCTGCCAGTTAACCACGTCTGAAACCAATCTAGATCTCGATCAAAGAATGATCACGCTCTTTATATTCTTAAATCAAATTTCTTCTCGACGTTTCTAACGTTTCTGTTAAGCTCATCCTTTCGTCGCTTCGGCGTTCACTTGGCTCCGCTCTGAAAGAAGACTTTGACTTGCAGACTACATGGCATCTTCAGTGGCAACATGGTTGCCCCTGGCACGGGCGGCGGCGGTCGGTTGGGTGCCGATCGCATCCCATCCGATGCCGCCGCAACCGGTTCAACCAGGGCAACGCACTGTCGAAGACGTAAAGTTGTTGATCAATGTGAGCGGAGTGCACTTCGAAACATGGCGTAACACCCTCGAGAAGTATCCGGATACGCTGCTTGGCTCGAGCGAGCGCGAGTATTTTTACAACGAGGAAACGAAAGAGTACTTCTTCGACCGGGATCCGGAAATCTTTCGTCATATACTCAATTACTACAGAACCGGAAAGCTGCATTACCCGAAGCACGAATGTTTGACAAGCTATGATGACGAGCTTACGTTCTTCGGCATTCAGCCGGACGTGATTGGCGACTGCTGCTACGAAGACTATCGCGACCGCAAACGGGAGAACGCGGAGAGACTAATGGATGACAAGCTCAGCGACGACGGGGATCAGAACCTTCAACAGCTGCTCAGTATGCGCCAGAAAATGTGGAGAGCATTCCAGAATCCTCATATTTCGACGGCTGCATTGGTCTTCTACTACGTAACCGGATTTTTTATTGCGGTCAGCGTGCTGGCGAATGTGATCGAGACCGTACCATGTGGAAACCGCCCGGGTCGGGCAGGAACGCTGTCCTGCGGAGAGCGTTACAAGATTGTGTTCTTTTGTTTAGACACTGCTTGTGTTATGATTTTTACCGCAGAGTATTTATTGAGACTCTTTGCCGCGCCGAGCAGATGCAAGTTTGCTCGTTCCGTGATGTCGATAATTGACGTAGTTGCAATTTTACCGTATTACATAGGACTTGGTTTGACCGATAACGACGACGTGTCCGGGGCATTCGTGACGCTCCGTGTTTTTCGGGTTTTCCGTATCTTCAAGTTCTCTCGGCACTCACAAGGATTACGTATCCTCGGTTATACTTTGAAATCCTGTGCCTCCGAGCTGGGTTTCCTCGTTTTTTCGCTTGCAATGGCCATCATTATCTTTGCCACCGTCATGTTCTACGCAGAGAAAAACGTCGACGGCACCAACTTCACTTCGATACCTTCTGCCTTCTGGTATACTATCGTCACAATGACCACATTGGGGTAAGTACTAATATACTATCGATTTTTATATGTAAACGAATAGTTTTGTGCAAAACTTATATGTTATACGTTGCTATATATGTTTTTCAACATTCAAAAAAAAAGATGCACCAAAAAAGTTACTACTATATTTACGATTTACAGAGCGAGACATTTTAAAACTTACTATCTCACATCATAAACTACTCATTGTACGAAAAAAATATTTTAATCCACGTTTGCATAGTTTTAAAAGAAATATACAATAAATGACTTTTTAAAATTTGTTTACATATCAAACTACTAAAAGATTTTTGAATTTTTTAATTTAAAATTGTTAACTGACCAAATTTATTTAGACACTTGACAACTAATAATTTGTGCTAAAATAGTAAACATTTTAACAATAATTGATTACTTTGTTTTTTATTTTAATTAGATAAAAATGTACTAATTAAAATTAAGTTTCGATTAAACTAAACATTGGTTTTTGTTTTGACTTTTGAAAAAAATTTTTACTAATTTTAATTAGTGTTTGAATGGATTAGAAATTAGTTTTTATTTTGATCAGTTTTCTTTGTTTTACGGTTTTTTCTTTGTGCAATTGTAGCGAGTTATAACAAAGTGCAAATAAACGTGATATATTTGCTACATATATATGTGCAGCACACACAAATTTGATAAAAATTTATAAAACAATGCGTGTATTCTTGCATCATAATATTTACAAATGTGCAATTCAATGTTTTGCAATACATCTCTGTAAAAATGGTGGAAATTATATAATGTATATCGGTATTAAGAACATATAATATAGTGAATAATATGAACTTCAATATTTGAATACCACACAAAGCTTTGTTGTAGTATAATTTTGTCTAAGATAAAAAGAAGAATTTATTATATAGTATGTTATAGACTATTGGGGTTCTAGTTAAAAAAATTATAAATTTTATTTGTGTGTATTTTATATTATTTGTTACATAATATAGTTTGAACAAAATAATTTCTGATTTTAAAAGTACATTAATATTTGAATAAGTTTGATAATAAGTTTTGCATTATTAATGTGTCTTTCTTCTAAACAACAGGAGTAATTTAATATTTTTGTAGAATATTCTTTTTGATATATAAATTATTTTCAAATGTTGAGGCATGTTATACAAATAATTTTTTGAAATATTTTGAAATTTTTTGAAATATATATACATATTCACGATCAATATTATTCCACTCTTACAGTCGTTGTTTTAAGATTTCTTTTGAAGTAATTAATGTTTATCTAATTCGCGAATCTAATTCATTCTATAAATATTCAACAAGATTTATATCTGGAAATTGAGATAAAGACTATAATAATTTAAGGCAATTGTATAATAAAAGTTTCTGTACAATTCGGGCTTTGTGGAGTCGTTATCTTGATAAAAGTTTAACGTTTTACGTGTCTTTAATTTCCATTTTTGTGGCACTTTTAAATAAATTATTGTTTACGATATAAAAATATAGAGTTCCATTATACTATCGATGAAAACTAGTTTATCAACTCCGAATGTTGAAATGCATCCCAAGACATTTCCATTTCCGTGTTAAATATTTGATTTCGTATTTTTCACATTAAATTCTTCATTTTTTTTGCAATATAGTTCTTCAGTGTTCTGATCCAAAAATATTAAATTTCTTTTTGTCACTAAAAATAACATCATTCTATCAAGTACTTTTCTTTATAACAAACTTCTTAGCAAAATTAAATCTCTTTTTTCTATTCTTTTTGTTTTTTACGATTTTTCTTAAGCAACCATTATATTTACTTTCTTTTAGTACTCTGCAAATCGCTTGCGGATGCACTTATTACCAGTCTCTTCTAGGACAACGGTAGCTTTAACTTTGATGCATTTATTGTGTGATCTTTTTTTATTTTTTGGATAAGTTTTCTTTTATCATGAATGTCTAAAATGTCTCTTGGTCGATCTTTTTGTAGAATAGATTCTATGCGATTCGTATTTATATCTTTTAATAATAAACAGTTTTGAGGCTCTTGAAAATCAAACAACGTGAAATGTTCGGTCAATGAAGGCCAAACGCTGAATGTTTGTCGCGTATTTTGTATATATATATATATATATATATATACACATGGACTCTACGTCCATAATGCGCGGGACATTGGGTATATATATATATGTATATATATATATATATATATATACTCGAGAAAAAATAAAAAATCATGCGATCATATAGGATTATATGTGGATGTAATTTTGTATGATCGTGTGAACTTTTATATAAGTCGAAAATGATTTTATATAAGTTGGATATGATTTTATGTGATCGTGTAAAATCAGATCTGAAATTTGGCGCCATCTGATTTTAAATGATCACATATAATTATAAGAAATCATATACTATCGTACATAATTTTATGTATTTATATGTGATCATATAAAATCAGATCGCGCCAAATTTCGGATCTGATTTTACACAATCACATAAAATCATATCCAACTTATATAAAATCATATTCGAGTTATACATATAAAAGTTTACACGATCATACAAAATTACATCTGATCCACATATAATCCTATTGTATATGATTACATGATTTTCCATTTTTTCTCGGGTATATATCAAACAACGTGAAATTTTCGACTCCTAGCCGAGGAATTTATTTCGCAATATATATTTTAAAAATTAGTAAGGGAGGTATACGAGATATCTCATTTATGTGATGCAAATATAGCATCCTATATGAATTTAAGAATTGAAATTTCAATTCGAAATACGTAAAAATTTATACAAATATATATGTATACATATATATATATATATATATATATATACAGACAGCCCGATGCATGCTTATTCGCAGATCTTTGTTAATTAAAATCTCAGTAACTATTGCGAATCTAGCAAAATGGTATAGGACTTTTCACCTCAGTTTTATTCCTTCTACCTGCCTACGAGAGATGTTAAACCAATTCTGGGACACCCTGTATATATACAGAATACGCGACAAACATCCAGCGTTTGGCTCTCATTGGCCGAAAATTTCACGTCTTTTAATAATGTTTCGTGCTCTTATTTGTATTAATATTTGTGTAAGTACATATATTTCTCTGTATGAATTTTTGTTCTCATTGTGAAAAATCACAAGTTGGCAAATGTTAAAAGATTAGATGTTACGATTGCTTTTGCGTTCCATTTTTGTTAAAATAGTTGAACAAGTACTGACATTAGACTGGCTTTCTGAGGCTTAATAATGTGTTTATAGAATACAATGTTTACAAACATACATTACTTTCGAGTTATTTAGAATAATAAGCAAGTGTATGTCTGAATATTAACTTGTAACTTTAAAATTAGACACTATTTTATTTACAACAAATATATTATATTTACAAATTTAATAAATTATAATAATATTAAATATATAATTGACGTTTATATTTTTGTTAACTCAATATTTTTTGTAGACTTAATCCTTTATAGTGTAATACACAAATATTTTTTCTTTTATCCTAGACAAAATTATTCTGTGACAAAGTAAAACTGTGTGACGTTCAAATATTAATGTTATTCACCGTATATGTATAAAGAGAAAGAGAACAACATTCAAAAGTGGAAAACATATTAACTAAACTATTACAAATTTTATAAAAATATTGCAAGAGTTAACTCTATTGCTATGTCAATTTTATAAAGAAAATTCACTTCTCGCTTCTGACGTATAATCAATATAGAAACAGGAGCAGTAAGGGAACAGGAGCCTTAAATAATTATAAGTAAGTGGCGTAAGGATCTAATAACTCAGTTAAAAGTGACAGTGGACACGTTGATAAAATACAGTAATATTTACAAAATATATTATATAAGTGACAAATAAATTATATAAGTGAAATAGTTAATCCATATTAAACCTGAACGTAATATAAGTAAAATATCATATTCCTTATTTTTGCAATGATGTGCAAAAAATGTGAATCTAAACAGCCTTGAATCATCTGAATAAATATAAACAACAAAGAACGCACGAATTTCGTATGTTTAAATTTGCTCTTATAAATTTGAAAATATAAATTGCGCATAATTTGTTTTTTATTTACAATAAATCTCGAGCTTTGTGTTAAATGAAAGGAAAATACAGTAGTTTCGAGAAGAGAGCGCGAGACACAAGTAGAAAAGAAGAAATATGAAAAACAAAAGAGTTAAGAAATTAAGTACACTGAAAACAAAACTGTGGAAGTCCTACAGTTTTGAAAAATTCAGTGCGAAAAGTTTATCTCAACTGCGAGAAATGATGGGAATCTAAAGTGAAAATACAGCGCTAAAGCGGTTGTTAAATGATTTTTTAAATTCTTAATTCTCTTAAAGTAAATTCGTTTAAATTTAGAAAACCTTATATTAACCAAATTACACATATTACTCGTATTTGTTTGTCAGAGTTAGATTAATTATAAGATATTTGTAACTCAATTTCTCTCGAAATGATTAAACACCCAGCATCAGAATCTGCGTTTATTAAATATATAGTTTTGCATTGCCAATTTAAGTTAGCATTTAGAAAAGATAAAACAATATATTGCTTGTGTTTTGAAAATCAGATAAAGTCATATGGAGATTGCTTTTGTAATGTTTGGCTCCAAGTATTTAGTTATTTTATACTTATACGAGTTGTGTACAAGTTTAAATTTCTTTTAAAAAAATATCACAGAAGTTTGACAGAAGCCTACAACCAAAGCAATAGTAATTCTTGTAATCGCAGTTCTTTGCGTGAGAGAAAGAGGACAAGCCTGACAGCGCATAGTGTCCGTTTATTTCCCGAAAACAGCAGAGAGAGGATTTTAATAGGAAAGATCATCCTCTTGTACTCGAAATCGAGTTTTCGGAGCTCTCTATTTGAAGCGTCGACTCATCGCTGTCAATTTTTCTTTTCTCTCTGCAACTCCACCCAGAAACCTTATACACGGCCTCGGCCGACCAGATCGATAAACATAGATGCTCCATAGAGAAAGAGATCTTCTA